ACACTGAGATAATGCTCCTGGGTGACGGATCCCACAGTCTGCAGTGCCAACGTTCTCTACCTGCAACTTTGGAACAGCAGCAAGTTCATTTGGGGATAGTTTGYCTTCAAACACAGCAGTGGAGAGGTTGCATAATTGAATTCTGCAACAAATACCCTTTCTACATTTGCAAATCATAAAACAACAGCAAGACTTTTACTAATGAATATGTGTAAGGAAATAAAAAGAACCTTGAGTAACTTAATGCCCTTCTCTGCATTGAACTRGAGGACATTAAGCATTACTGCAGATTTCTGTTTCCAGGCTGGAGACCTTGATTAGCCAGAGTGCCCTAACCAGGGCAGGCACCTTGCTGGCCCTTGTGGTCTGTGCAGCAGGATTTTGTTCCCTGGTGTGCAGTATAGCAGGACAGGGGGAAGCAGGAGCACACTCAGAAGGAAGTAGAAATGTCCTGAAGTTCAGCAGTTGTTACTAATTGAAGTCAAGGTGAATACTTATTTACTTTGCTGCTTTAAAGAAAGAGGAGGGAGTGAGGAAGAGGGAATCAAGTGGAAATAGTAAGCAATAAATGTACATGCTTGAATTTGCACTGCTGTGGTGTTGTGTAAGAGTACAAAAATTTCATGGCTTTTACTTCCACAGGAAGTTTTGTGTTTGTATTTAATTTCTGGGAACCCAAGGGCAAAGCAAAGCAATTAACATGTTGAAGACTTAAAAATAAACTTCAGAAGCTTCAAGTAAAATACCTTTAGCTGATTAGTGTTACAATGCATCTTTAATGAGAAATAAATGWGGATTGCATTGTTTCTTAGGATAAGGAGAGGCATTAGATATCTGCATTGATAATAAAGGGCTTAGAAATAATCTAATTCTATGAGCTGCTTTTCTAGAAGAAAAACAGGAAACTTCTACATGGCCTAGTGCACAGATAAGAAAAACAGTGAAACAAATAAATTTGTACAAGTCGTTTCAGTAAAAAGCTTATTGCAAGGTGAATTTTAACATAGTCCTGTCACTCTTTGGATTATTTAGATTCATCCCTTGATATGTATTCATGTTTCTCTATTTTTATCAAACTGTTAGTTTTTCTTTAACTCTGATTTTACTACAAACCAATTTATATAAAAAGTGCAGGCTGTAAAATGTGGAATTAATAATTTAGAATGACTCAATCTAAAGTACTACCTCCTCTTGTACCCACAGCAAACAAAATTCTATGGAAAACAAGGCTCAGAAAAAGACTTTATAAAATATTTCTTTACAGTTATCCCATCATGGCTGTGTACCAAATAAAGGAAATACGAAAAGTCCTTCGATTGGGAAGATTGGCAGCATCAATGTTTTTAAATTAAATGAATTTTAAATATGCATGAATTTATTGTCTTGGTTAAATTGCTGCACGGTAAAAAGAAATGCTGTTCTCTGAACAGTAATAGCTCTGTCTCAGCTCTCAAATTGGGTCACAGTGAACAGACAGAAAGCTCTGTTTTTTCTCTCTTTTACCTTACTTTCTTGGAAAAGTGATTGAAACTGTAATCATTACTGCACTGAGGCAGTATACTGATAGAAAATGTTTTTCATCAATGATAGATCCTCTCCTTTAGGCGTGTTTGTGATGGCATTGTATTGTAGAACACCTTAAAGAACACTGTAGAAATCTGCAGTCTCAACAAAATCTGCTGAAATGCATTGAATGAGTACAGCAATCCCAGTTATTGCTGGAGTTTATTTTTGGTAATAAACACTTCACCTTCTGTATGGGACTGTGGTAAAATGAAATAAATTTGAATTATTAATATTACACCATTTTACAGTAATCATATTCCTAAATATGCCAAATAGCATTCTAGGTATCCCAAAAAAAAAGGACTGGGGGTGGAGTGGAAGTGACAATACTGCTCTACAAAGCCCATGTGCTACATCACTTCTCTGCAGTTGTATCTCCAATTGCTTCAACAATTAAATAGCTTGACAAGAGCTTTGTGGAAGGTCATTGCTCTTACCTTGTGAGGCAGGAATGCTGTGAATCTGCCARGCCCTTTTACTGGAATATGTGCACACTGAAAAAGGGGCCATGGGGTCTCTGCAGGACCCTCTGCCTGTGTGAATAGTGACCACCAGGGCACTTGGGGAACCTTCCTCTATGGTACACACAAGTGAGTAATATTAACAATATTATACACAGTCAGTTTGGTAGAACAGTATGAGATRCCTTTCTGTATTGCTGTGTCTATTTTATATGGAAAAAGATGAGAAAGATCTGAATAYAGATAACACCATTACCAGTTAATTTAAAAGGCCAAACTGTGGTTTTAACAATGCTATACCTTTCCAAGTAATGTTTGAGAAAGATAAAGATATATTTAGAAGATGGATGTTTCAATTTCTGGCTGCCCAAAAGTGACATAACAACACTATAAATTTAAATAGGATGAGGTTTTAATGGGTCTCCTAGAGGAAAAAGAAGGTGTTTATTAGTAGAAATGTACTAAACTATCTGCATTTGACAAAGTGCTRATGGAGGAAATTACTTCTAGAGAAACAAATGAAAATGTCAATTAAAAAAAGTAATGGCTCTCTGAGTTGTGGGTTGTGATTTTGCTTTTGGAGATTTTTAGGTTTTCTTAAGAGAAGTGCTGGGTATGTTTTCTGTATTGCTTGAAAAGCTTTTGATTTGCCTGTGTTGCCTTAGTTCTGTGAGTGGGGGGGTTTTCTGGGGATCCCCCCTTCCGTATCTGCTGCTCTGTAGYTGTATTTCATGTAGACTGGAAGATAATTTAATATTCTGGTCTAATGCTTTTCCCCCATTATATGTTTTATTTTTGCAATTTATTTATGAAGCATTTTCCAATRCAATGTCCAAGAGCACAGTGCCTGCAGCCTAAACCACCTGGCCAGGGATGTGATGTCTCATATGTCAGCAGAGGGTAGGATGAGAAGGACACTCCTGGTARCTGCAGAATATTAGTGAAGTGGAAATTCCCTCTTCACAATTTTCTGATGCCAATCAGCTTTTCTCCCTGGTGACTGGGTATCCTGAGGTGTCAGGTAATGTCAGGGTTTGCTTGGCAGGCACCCTGGGAACTACTGGGTTTGTAAAAGCTGCCCTTGCTTTAAAGGATATTGCTGTGTTCAGCTGGAGTCTGCACAGAAAGGCTCAGGGAGAGCAGGAAGAGAAGCAGCTTTTTCACAGCATTAAGCACAGTGACACGGTGAGTGTGAGCCTGCAGTGACACACACACACTTGTGCCGTGACACGGAGGGGGAGCTGAGCCCTCCAAAGCACTGAAATGCTCAGCTCTTACTGCTACTTTTGTATTTGCTTATGCTGATGTGTCTTCAATTATTTGTCTCATAGCAGAATAAAACCAGCTGTCTGAGGATAATGTCTGGAAAAGCCAGACACTAGAAACCAAGTTGCTGAGCTGGGGTAAGAAAGGAATCATCGACCAGCGAACATGGCACAGGCTGTCTGCAAATAGGGATGGCAGGGGAGACTTTACTYCTGCCACAGTGAAATGTGATTAAGTTTTAACAAGACATCAAGTGTTCAGTTTCTGTCTGTAATCTCCAGGAGTTGAATACTGTAGTCCTATAAAAATATTACCTCTATTAAAACCTGCAAGATGAGATGCTGGACCCAAAGGCACTAAAGGCAAGCAGTAGGCAAACAGAGTGTACTCAAGTCTTAATGACTTTTTGGGAAGGTTCAGAAATAGTGTGTTCTTAAATTTGTTGCTTACACTGAAGCTGGCAAACAGGATTTCCCTCAAAGACTTAGTTTTTAGTAATTTGCCTCATGTTCATGTGTCTCCACCTCAGACTGTACTTAATTATGTGGTATTTGGTTACTTYCACAGGCTGCTCTGCTGCTGCAATGTGAATGTTCCACATTTAGCAAGAGTCATCAAGGTTTATCTCATCTTTTTAGCAGCTAAAGAGAAACCAGTATGAATCTTGGTCACTTGGTAGTTTTTAATCTCTGCCCAGCCTCTTGAGCCCACAGCAACACGAGGGTTCCCTTGCTCTCCTGTTTCATCAGCACTTTGAACTGTCAGTGACATCCTGCTTTAAAGTCAGTCAGATGCTGACACTGACAGAGAGTTACAATTACCAACCCTGCTGGAGGTATCAAAATAATGTCCTCAGCATCAAAAGATGTTGTTYTAAATTATAATTAGGGTCTCCACGGGTGAAATGTTTCATAATTTAACATATTTCGTTTTTTGTGACAAACAAGATGAGGCATGGCGACAGCAAGGACCTCTGCCATTTCAAATTAGTTAAGGCATCAGTATTAATTCTAAATGAGCTAATTACACTCAAAAAAGTGAGGAAACACAATTTGTCATTCATGCTGGTAAAACCCCACATTCCCAGCTTACTTTTGTATCTTAGTACATGCAGTAATGTCCAGCCGTGCCCTCTGGTTAAATATCCTTCCCATGGTTGTGTTATATAAGTAATATGTATGAGATGTGAAAATGTTCTCTCATTCTCCACATTCTCCTAAAAACGAGACTGTGAAAACATTCCACTAAGCAGGTGGAGAATAMAGGCAAAATAATTTCCTTTTCTCTGAATCCAACGTTAGCTCTGCTCAAGGGGCTGCCATGGGACTGCAGTCCCCATGTGGCCCTGTCCAGCTGCAGCTGCAGGTACAGGTACAGCCACTTCACTGCTGCAAGGCAGCGCTGCACAGGTGATTTTACAGTCTCAGCAGCTCCACAAATCAGGCTTGAAGGAGCCTCCTTGATAAACTGTTGAGACTAAAATGTAATTAAACTGACTCTTCAGCACAGCATTTCATACCTCTCACCATATTTAAATCTCTGCAATACCCTCTGGGGAACACCATTGTGTGAGTATATACATAAAACATGATAGAATGCATTAGTGATGCCATGTTCCTCCCTCTTCAGGTGCCAAAGCTGCACCAGCTCCAGCTCCAGATAACCCATGGCATGGATGATAACGTGCTCAATTGAATACTTAAAAACCCAACASGTGTGAGTTAATTACATGAAGACTTTATTTGCAACAAATTAGATACACTTGCTAAAAAAAGAGGTGGATTGAAGCACATAAACTATTTMATGAATTTGTTTTTAAAGACTTACTGCAGTGAAGAACACATACTTTTTAGGGTTTTGATATCCTGTAATATTACAGTAAGGCACTCTGCTTTTGGAAATCAAAGTTCTCTCCTTTTCTAGAAATCAACAAAATGACTTCTGGTTACAATATTCTGTAYAGAATATTCTCCCCATGCAATTATTCCAATTTCCATAGCTAGAGCTAGAATATATGCTAATTGAATGGTAGTTAAATTTCAAAATGAAAATAGTTGTTTCACCTTTAGTTTCTGTCAGYGACATTTATATCAGCCTCATTTACAGACTTTTCATTATATAAAACTATATAATGGAAACTATAAAACTATATAACATTATATAAAACTTTATAACAGATATAACAGAAACCCAAGCTGTGACTGCAAAYCAGAGTGTGTTTGCTCTCCTATTGCTCCTGGCTCTGAAGAGCTAAGAAAATAAAGTGTGGGAAATGGGAGAAAATATGACACCAAAGTAATAGGATACGATCCAAAAATTGTGAAAACTCAGCAGGAGTCTGCTGATTTCAAAATTTTTGATATTTGTTTCTGTAGAGTAAAAAWATGGCCCATTCATATTGTCCAGAAGGTAACAAATTACTAAATTTATTGATTTTGAAATACCCTCTCAAGTTAAAGGCTTATGTAGAAGCCAATTTCTCTCTAATCAGAAAGTCTTATCTAGGAGCAAAGTGAAAATTCTCAGAACTGTACTTTTCAATGACACATTACCATATTTGCTCTGCTCTTCTCCCATATTCCTCATAGGTCTCATTTTCAAAAAGAAAAACACGTCAACAACTTCCTTGTTATTTAGGACGACAACAAACTGAGAGCTGTTCTGGGACACTGCAGTCAGAAATCTGTACTTCTGCTTGGGGAAACTTTATGAAACTGTTTATATTTATCTAATATGGAAAAACATCTTTTGACACAGCCTACTTTTGCTTAGGAAGCAAATCCAGCAGCTCCTTSTCTATGCCCTGGCTGCCCAGTTCATCTAAGCTGTAGTATTTGTGCACCACCTTTTCCTCTGTGACAACCACCACCCTGAGCCCGTGTGTATCCTTTCCCAGCTGACATCCTATGGCTGATGAAACCACCATTTCCAGGTCTTTGTAGAACCCTCCAGCATTCCTATGGTAATGCCCAGAAAATACAGCTTTAATACCTGTTAAAAAAAAAAAAAAGAGTAAGTATGTATTTAATTAACACTTCACAGGTATCACGTTTACTCTCATTCTTCAATGGCTCATTGAGCATAAAATTAAAATGAAATCATTTACCCAAAATTGCRTTTTAAACAAGTAATTAGTAAATATTAGTGAATAATTCTAATAGTAATAAACAATTAATAAACAGCTCCACCAGCTGTGTTTAGGGCTACTGGACTCTGAGTTCTTTATGCCCAAACAAGGTATTTGTTGTCTCCTCACCCCTTTACCTAGAAACAAGGAACAGCCTTGCAGCAGCTGAATAAAATTAGGCACCTAATTTGGGATTATGTTTSGCATGCTTAGTCTAAGGTCCTTGGACCCTCGGTCCAGACTCTTAGAGCTTCCTGAATCTGCCTCTACTGCTACTTTATACTGTTGTGAAACACAAAAATTTCTGGACTAGATGGCTAAAAATACTGGGAATTTKGTTGGCAAGCCAGAAAGGAGCAAATTTGTGAGTTACTACAACCTTAAATGACATTTAAAAAATAAAAAGCTAGCAACAACTGATTTTGCCTTCAGACAGCAGAAATTCTGGAAGATAGCAGWGGCAATTTAAAGTTAGAAAGCTGTAATGAGGAACATGTTGTAACTTCACATGGAAATCCTTATTTMTCTAGCCAGAAAAACCTTCCACATTTTCTTGTGCAGTAGATTTAGACCTCTTTCCCAGAGATAAAATGATWAGGGAAGTAGGTGAACCGATCTTAAGACAGCTGGCTAACATCAATCCTTTGCTTTTGTGGGAGTGAGTGATATGAAGACTGATATAAAATATATAAACTTGGCTCAAAGTACAGTTAAAAATTAAGCAGCTTGGAAAGCAAAATATAAATTATTCTGCTGTATGTCTGGTAAGAGCTACATGGCTTTCATATTTCAAATCCAAGCCCTTCTCCAACAGCAAATGAGTCAAGGTGGAAAAACAGAGAATGAAGCCACCTTGTGACAGAGCAGYGGCACAGGGGCCTTGCCAGCTACAGTTTGGCTGTGATCCCATTTTAGTGTATCAGTGCTAATTATCCTGAACTGCTGGAGCTGCTGCTCTGGCTCTGCACGAGTGACACTGCTGAATGAGGCTGCAGGACAGCGCTGGAGCTGCTCTGACTCAGCTGCACTAAAGCTCACACTCCTGCAGAGGTTTCTTCACATCCTGAGAAACCCAGTGAGGATCCCTCAAAGAGAATGGTGGAATGAAAGCCAGTGATGCTGATACTATAACAAGGGAACAAGGCCTTTTCTGTATTTTCCACTTTTTCTGCAGGTAAGCAAAACTACTTTAGTCTATGGAAAACTTAAGTAAGAAACATAAACCCATAGTGAGGTGCAAACCCGTGTGACACGCTTTTAGTAACAGAGTAAGTACTTTGGAAGGGAATTAAGTGATCTCTTTTTACTGGAAGCATCCGTGTCCTAAAGTAGCACCTTCCCACCATCCAGAGAATTTAACATTTGTGTTTAAAAGAGGAAAAGACGCCAAGACTTTGTGTCATCATATATGTAAACCTGACTCAATGTCAGTAGAAGGAAGAGGAACTGTAGTTATGCTAAAAAAATTCTTGTCTGATAATTCAAGGGAAGATTCTGAGAACCCCATCCTCAATAAAAATTGTTGCCCAGACTTCAGTTTTCAGGTACTCTTTGGTGCTATTTCTTGTTATTGTTGGGTTACAGTGTGTTACACCTTGAACAAGGAAACAAACAGGTCACAGCTGGGTATTGACAGGGGCTCGCTGATGGTGTTTTTCTGCAAGAGCACATTTCTTTGTGAGTTAGCACAAGGAGGAAAGCTGAACCAGTCACTGCAATAATACTAAGATGACAAGCAGGCAATTTACTTTGCTCWTGCTTTTGATCTTTCAACATAAAAAGAATCTTAGAGATGTGTGCACTCAAATTTGATTTATTAATTTCAGATGTTTTTCTGAAGTAATAATGTCAAGTTGCTAGCAACAGACACTCCCCACCCCTTTCCACCCCCAACTCTGTGAGGAAAGAACAATGTCCTGGCAGATTACATTTTTATAGCCCACTTTAATGTATCCCCAGGTCAGTTAAATGCATCCAGCTACACACTAAAACATACAGTCCCTTCCCACTACARGAGAAGAAAAATGGTAAAGCAGTGATTTGTTTTTGCTCACTGTTTTCTTAAACAGCAGCTGAAAAAAGCATTGMTATAAAAGCAGTGTGAAACACTAAAAAACTACTGTGTAAATAAATGYCCAAAGAATGGTACCTTCACAAGCATTTCATTTGTTATGAAATACAGTTATTTCAATTTAAATGGGACTGGAGGTTTCATGGTATSCATTAACTAAAAAAAGCATTACTGCAAGACACTATTTATACCTAATGGATYATTCATTAAAGGGGATTAAAATCAGAATAAAGCAAAAAAATGTGCAGTTACTCTAAAAAAAAGCAAAACAATCCACCCATTGTATCCCTGTGATCATCATCATCATCTGATATCAGACTGCGTAACAACACAACACAGATTACAGATTATCTGCTAAGGAAAAAAGTCTGAGCTGCCAAATTAATTTTTGATCAGGACTGCAAGCCAGAGATACAGGGCAGGTTCCACCCAGTGCTGGGTACCAGGTCTTGTTCTTTCCCTGCTAAAACTGTACTTGGATCATGAAAACACCTAAAGCCACTGAGATTCATGCCTGCTACCAAACATGAGTTTTCTGAATCAGTCAATATGCAAAAAAATTCTTTGTAAAAAAAGGTTTAGATACAGGAATTGCTTCTGATTTGAGCAAACAAAAGCTGCTCTCCTGCCATGCAATTTACCATCATTTTCTGATCAAGCACAAAATGTTCTTTTTAGTTCTGATCTGAAAAAGTTGAATCTGAAAGACAAAAATATTTTCCTTTTCCAAAGATCTGATCATAACTCTTTTTCCCTTCAGAATAATGTATCCCTACTAAAGAATGAAATCCCTATTTTGGTACAAGTTCTTTGAGGCCAGAGCAGCCTACTTAGCAAAAATAAAAAATGATGTAATAACCAACCAAAATAAGGATTGTTTGAGTCATCTGATGAGATGTAATATTACATATGTTGATAAGCCTTAGACTTTTCATCAGCTGAACCATGAAACAAGTTAACAAACRCTTTGGTTTTATGCTTATTCACAGACTGCATTATGGCTCTTGGGGCTATACGGCCCCACAGTGGCTTTGGCAAGGCAAGATGTGAGTGCTGGAGAGGAATTCCCAGCTCATGCAATTCAGCATGCTGCCTTTGATGCCACCTGTTTCATAAGCAGAATCTTTAAAGCACWACTCAATTTTAAGAAAGTTTCAAACCAAGTTAATATTTTAATTTGGATACCTTTTTCGAAATCAAAACCACAGTATGAACACTTGACTCATCGTTTCTATTGCAGACATTTTTCAACAGGAAATTCAAAAGCACCTCTGAAGACTTTCCTCCTCCCTCTCTTGTTTCCAGGGTCTGCTTTCTAAATCCAGCTCACCAAGTAAGTTGTGGAGCTTCAGCAAGCTCTTGTTAATTTAATTTGCATCTTCCCCACTTTAACAGCTTTGRGAAGTTGGACAATTTTTACCAGTGTTTCCCGCCTTCTCTTTTTCTGTTGGTTCTCTCTCCAAGCTTTGTGACCCACACCAGCAAYTGTTTTAAAGGATCCTTTTCTTATAGAGAGGGTGTAAAGGGTGCTGTCCCACTGCCTCACTGGCCTAACAGGGAAAGGTGCCTACACAAGTGTCTGGGACCTGCTCTGGATGCTCCCAGAAAAAGCTGCCACAGAAGGGATGGCCAGGCCAAATCGGCTCAGGAGCAGCTGCCCATGCACAACCATCACACCCTCACAGACTGTGATTTTAAAGAGATTATTCTCTGTAACTGTGGCCATCTTACAGCACTTCTGAGCGCCCAAGCAAACCAAAGCAGAGGAATGTTCTGAAAGAAACCAAGTCCTAAATGAAATATTCAGCACCTTTTTCAGCCCTGGAGATTCTGAAGAAAATGAGAAGAAAACTTTRGCTACCCCAGTGTTATTAACACTCTGTTGATTTTATTTCTGACAACCAGATGAGAAAATACTTCATTTCAGAAAGAGAAGCTACAACTGAATATCTTGCAGGAGACATTTTGTCTGTTAGCAGGAGAGGCTAAGGTTATTTTACAGAATTTTGAAAGTACAGCATATTCCTTCTACAAATTATCATTTATCACTCAGAAAAACCCTTCAGTGGCACCAGGGAGAAGGGTCAGCATGATTTTGATGCAATTGCACTAAGAGTGGAAAGGCATTTAGCTGTGTCTCATGGATAATCCCCCTGGGAGTGATAACATCCCTGCCTTAGCTTACGGTGCAGCTGCAGTCCCGTAAGTCCCAAACTCTTCTCCCTTACTCRGTACTCCACTGTTGTCTTCTGTAGTGTAGAAAAATGTAAGGACATGGAGGACTGGGCACGTTTTCAGCTCCATTTGGGGCAGGAAAGAAAGGGGACTCTGGTCTGCCTTCTCTGTGTGGCCCTTCAAACTGCCACATCTTTTCTATTCAGTGTTTTGMCCAGCCTTTCTATTTAAGGAGTAATTAAATCATGCAAATGTCTCMATTTTAAATATTAAATGCTAGCCAAATCATCTTTCTGCTTTATCAAACAAACAGGTATAATCTGTAAGAATGCAATGGTGAGATTTTGTGAAATAGGTAACACCTCTTTTCCTAACTTCTTGAAAAATTTACTCTTTTCTAGTTTAATTCAAGAAATACAGACTGAGCCCCAGCCTCTAGGGAAATTGACTTACAATGGCACAGGATGGAAAATAATGCACCCATGTTTACCTTGAAAGAAAAAAAAAAGRAACATGCACCTGGAAAACAATTTTTCTCACACAATCAGAGAATATTGGGTTGTAATTCAGACATAAACTAGTTTAAATTCCAGGGGTGTCTGACTCCAGTGTCTGTAA